TTCCACCAAGGATGACGTATTTCAACGCACAGTTTCTATTACATTTCTTCACAAAAGAAATCCTGGCAAGACAGCAGAATGAGGTCTGCAGAGAGGTGCAGACCTGATGATATCAACAGCAAAGAAGAACAGGTGTGTGCGTGTGTGTCTGTGTGTTTTATATAGTGTATAATCTGTGTGTGAGTGAAATATTAAATTTAATGTGAGGTAACCAAGGTGAGTATTACAGTTTAGAGTTTTCTGTCATGTTGATGACCGTTTTGTTTCTCTCCTGTCAACAAGGAGTTCACGAGACGTTTCCAGAGGCTCGTGTGGATCGGACTGACTGACAGAGAGACAGGAGGGGAAGTGGAAATGGGTGGATGGGACTCCGCTGACCACAAGGTTTCGCAGCATTATTTTAATCACGCTCTGAACATTTTTGATTTTAAACTAATGGGTAAATTTAACTTCCTGTTTGCTCTACTGATTCTCCCCGAGATGTGTTATTTATAAGAGCTTTATATTTGTTTTTTGGGGTTTCAGCTACTGGGGCCCCAATGAGCCAAACAGTCATAAAGGCAGAGATGAAGACTGCGGAGAAATAAAGTTCTATGATGATAAAAACAGCTGGAACGATCAACGGTGTGAATCTCAAAAACATCTGGATCTGTGAAAAGACGATGTCTCTGTAACTCAACAACCAAACAAGACAACAACTGAAATGTTGGTTATGGCCAAGCTGCAGATAATATAGCTCATTTTCATTGCTTAATTGCTGAGAATCATAAACAACGAAATGTATCCATTAATTAAAGCCGCTGTGTGTGACTTTAGAATTATTTGTTTATTTTTTTAGTATTATTTTTGACATGGTAAGTCAAAAAGCGCTTTGCCAAACATAGAAATAAAGTTACTGAAACACTGTTAACAATGCAAAAAGAATAAATGTTTTTTATTTGCTGTTGCAGGAGACACCCAGCTGATTGCAGGTTTATGTTTATGCATGTCTGCTTTATGCAAAATATGCTCATGTTTGTGTGCACATAATGAAAAATGTATTATCTTATGACACAATATTTGAACATTTATTATAGGTTTATGATATTATAGCAGTGCATGAGTAAGTGCCCTATTATCTGTATCTGTTCAACCGTCTAAATTATTTATACTTGTATCCGACACTGGAAGTTCACTACTGACCAGAAGCCTGAAATTGATATGGTTTGATCAGAAGTTTCTATATTTATTTGAAAATTGATTACAGAATTGAGCTTAAAGGCAATGTGTTTGATCACAAGAGTAAGATAACTTTTTACAAAACAAGTTTTTTTTTTTTTATAAAGCTATGGTTACAGGTACAGATTTTGACTTGTTTGATACTCATACTTATTATATCACATTATCTGATCTAGATACTCGCTTGCGCCAAGTACTCGCATAACCTTAGTCATGGCAATTCAAGTCTGGGAACAATGAGAGACTTACCTGACTTAAAAAGAAGAGAATAGCTTCAACTGTTGTTTACAACAATTCCTGTGTGTTTGCAGTGTGTTTATCTCGAATAAATGACAAATACTATATATATGTAAATATCAGTCCTTTATCAACAATATGTTAAGTTTTGCTTGAATAAAAGGTTTGAATAGTCTCAGTCTGGGATGTGTTGTTTTGTGTGGATTGTTAATGAGACGTATACAGGTCTCAAGAAGATTTTGATTTATGTTTTTATTTTTTATTATTAAAATATATGTGCTCTGAATATAAAAATTACCTGCTGTCTCTAGTGGAAATAGACAACTTTTTTACCTTGACTCATAATTATGAAGTAAATGTCGAATGTTGTAATGGCTATAGAATAATGACACCATCCGTGTTTAGACTGGTTCCCTATAAGCCTCGATTTTACTATGCAGTTATGTCTGCCACCGGGAGACTTGTGAAAGGAGTGATCAATAAGTTAACTCACAGATATTTATTGTGAACTAATCGTTACCAAATGATCACACTAATTTCTCTCCAGGGTGTCTGTCAGAGGATTTTGTCTCTGGCCAGTTACTTTACTTTGGTTCTAAACTCAGTTTTTTTAGGTCAACCTGTAATCTTTTTTCTCAAGAGGGTCTGAGGATAGAGGGTGTTGGATGTTATACAGATTGCATTACATTGGGCTATATTTATATATATATATATACAATTATATATATATATAAAATTGTTGAAGAGTTGTTCCAGTGAGACATGGAAGTTCCTTTGTTACAAACCTGAACTCACAATAGTCTGTGTGAATTATAATGCCAGCAAGTCACAGAACACACTGCAGCAGCTCTGGAGTCCAACACTAAAGCCCAGATTAACTAACTTCATCTTCCCTCTACCATATAGTCGTTTTTTAATAAATATGTGTCCTATCTAAACAATAGGTTCACATCCAACCTCTTTCTGATGTTAGAGAGTTCCAACATTAAACTATTTTCCATGTTTATCACCCTCACTGTATTACGCCACTCTTGTATATGTGCATTTTTTTGTTGCTGTGTTGACGTTGTCAAGAGAAAACCGCCAGCACACAGATTTATATCTGATAACTGTTCTGTAAAGTTTGGTCTTTAATTAGATATCCTGCATGTAGAGTTACAGTCATGACCTTTTAATCTTTACTTCTCTTTTATGGAAATAGATATTAATTTTTCAGAAACAGTACAACACTATTACAGCTCAATGGCTCACCAACTGTACAGCAATAAGTCATTTGATTTATTGCAAATTTGTTTTGGTACATGCAACAAAGCACAACACAAACTGGAATGGTAAAGGATTTAGGTGACTCCTGCATTTTATCTTATGGGTACATTTTGAAGGTAATGATAATTCTATCTAAAAACAAATGTCTTGGCTTAACGAAGAAAACAGGTTCCATCTCTCATTTCGAGTTGTGACAACACAGGATGAAATAATGTTCAACTAATGAAGTATATTAAGTAAGGCAAATTAGCTTTTCCTCTACAATGAAAGGTATTTTTAATTACCACCTACTTAATAATTGGTAGCATAAACACACAAAAACACAAGTTTTTAAGTTGATTACTCATAAAATTAAGTTGTTCCAAATAGTTTCCCCACATTATTTAAAATGCATTTTAAGTATCATGTACTTAATAACTATAATAATTGTTTTTAAGTTGACGCACATTTTTAAATTTTGTTTATGTAAGAAATTAATTCATTGGATAACAAAACTGGCAATTAACTGTGTTTACTTTGAACTGCAGTTTAAGTGTTTGAACACAATATTTAAAAAAAAAAACTTGGAAAACAATAACAACACAATTTTAAATTGTCCCGTACATGGCTACCAATCTTCTCAAGGTCCTGCAGTCTTTTTTTACATATTATAGGAAAGCCCTTTTAGATCAATTTTACAAAAAACTGTAACAAACAGCAGCAGACTGTCACTATCAATGTATATTTAAGTTCCAATAGCTCAGATTCCCATCAGCTAAGCACAGCACCTTGGGATATCCTTGCCCTCCAAGATTTTGGTTCCCTCAACCATGATGGTTGCTGTCATATGGTCATATGGTCAGATTCTGGGGTGGACCGATGGCGGCAGTTTTCATCAGTTGTCTATTGAGGCCTGCCTCAAACGCTTCTGTGTCCTTGTATAGCAAATTAAAAGGAAAAAATACATTGATTTATTAATATATTGAAAGTATTTTACCATGCCATTGTTGTCAACACCTATGTGAACATTGTTATGATATTACAGATTGGGGTGTGACCAGAAGTGTAAAAACTTTAATGGACAAGGAGCAGGTTTCTGCCCTGTGTATTTACACTGCCCAATGTAGATTTAATTTTCTTTCAAGATGTTGATTTACTTACTCTAAACTATTTTAGCTATTTAAAAAAAAGGAAAAAAGGTATCAAAAGAAAGTAACTAACCAAATATAATCTGAATTGGTGATTGTCAACAAAAATAAGCCTAATAATTTCCATACCTGGAGAAGCATGTCTTTTATATGTCTGATTGTCACTCCTGTAGCTCCTGTCCTTGATGAGACTACATCCATCATTTTTGTTGTGCAATGGTCAAGTCTCGCCATTTTCTCTGGAATTCTTTATTTCCATTATTTTTGTTGTGCCATGTCAAGTCTTGCCATTTTCTCTGGAATTCTTTATTTATCTGTAGACCACACAAACAAAGAATTCAGTTCTGCAGACAATTAAGCGATACTGTTAATTCATACTAAAACACATTAGTTGAAGAGGAACAACTCCTCAACATATGTGAACTCTGACATACAGTGGTTAAAAAAGCAGGGCACTGAAATGACCCACTATCATTGACTGCCATTTTGTTCCAAGTAGTCACCCTCCACAGGGGCAACTTTGAACCAAAGACCAGGCAATAAGAGGGGCCAGTCAAGTACCCTGCTAAAGCATTAAATGTTATCCAGTTTAATAAATACAAACAGCAATGTAGTTTACAGCTAAACACATAAGAAGTATCATGCTATTCCTCTCCATGGCTCAAATCTCAAGCTGACCCGATTTGCCAAATAAAACTTTATCATTCGTATCCACTGCTATGCTACACTGAAGGGTAGAATGGCTAAACTACGCTGCTAAATATGCCTAGCCTCAAACTATTATTAGTACAACAATATTCCACAAACTTATTAACAGATGTACCTAACCTTCAGTCACAAGTCCACTGCTGGTCAAATCACAATTGAGAATATGCCCAAATTCTTGCAAGAATTTATTTGCAAATAAAATGATACCTCAAAAATGTCCTTTGTATATCGTATTTGCTAACACAGAGTCTCAACTGTCTGAATTTGCCCAGGCATGTGATAGGTGGGTGGGTAGGGGAGGGGACTTGAAATGCTGAACTCAAGGTGGAGAAAAATTAAGTTATCAAGCTAATTTTATTAAGTTAATACAACTTGACTTTTGTTTTGAACCAATGTAATTACCAACATTATTATATCAACACAACTCCTAAAAAATTTTTTGCAACTTAAAAGCTTGATCTAAATAAATATATTAGAATTTTTAACTTGCAACCATGCATTTAATTAAGTGGTGATAATAGGGCCACTGAGTTACTTTTTAGAGTGAACAAATTCACATGGATGAGAGAATGCAATCATAAAAATGCAAGATAATTTGTTTCTGTTCAGTCCAGTTAACGAAGATGCCAGACAAACTAGTGTCATCAGAGCGACATATGCCACAGAGGTTGGCCACCACAGCTAGAGGCGCTCTTATTAATTGCCTGTCAGATGTGGTTCTCAGGTGTCTTGGCAGATGGCCTACAAGGCTCACCAAGGTGGCTCGTTGCCTCACTGTGTGGCCCCTTTCACTTGCGTAGAGATAATTGTGCCATGGCCATTGCATTTGGATGCACAGAAACTCTAATTATGATGATGCAGATGCCACATTCTGAGTAGCTATTTCGTCAATATATCATATTTTGCATTTAAAGTGCTTTTAACAAATATACTTTATATATTTGACCTATTTTGTACACTGTATTTCCTGGCAATGTGTTGATGGGGAGTATCATCAAATCCTGTAAAATACTTATACAATGTGCTAATAATGCCTGTTGGAGAGGATAGATCAATTCAAAGGAAAGACAATGAAACACAATACATAATTGAATCCGTTTATCAATAAAAATGCACAGTTTTAAGACTGAATAATTCAAGAGCTCCTCAACAGACCAGCTGAAAATATATAGATTCCAGGAACACTGTCT